CCCCCTCTCTACCCTTCTTAGATCTGCCAATAAGCTTAATGGACCGAAATGTCATTATCCTGGCAAATGCCATTATGTATGTGTATGTATTTTTACAGTTTTGTTTTCATCCTATCTATGTTTAAATTACAATTTCTCTACGTTTGTTTATTTTTACTTTTATTTACTTAGCTTCTATCGGCGTATTGGGAGCATTCCAGTAACATCACTAACAGGGAATACCCACACTGACGGCTTAAGCGGCCCTGGTATTTACTTAAATTTGCTTTGATTATCGGTGGCTCTTCGACTTTGTCGATTTATCGGTGATTTTTTTTTTGAAAACAAATCAGTTCCGCGTAGAGGGTGTGTATATTTTGCAGCCGAATTGTGTACGTATGGAGCATTTGTGTGAAACAGAAACAATGGCTTATATCGTAATGGAATATGTTGCTGGTGGCGAGCTCTTCAGTCGCATTGTTTCGCCAGCAAACAAAGGATGCGGTCTCGGTGAATCGATAACAAAATTCTATGCGTGGCAACTTTTCGGTGCCCTTGAGGTATGTTTTTAATCCATATAGGGTCAAGCCGATTTTTGGGGTAAAAAAAGCGTTTTGAAGTAATAAACTTGAATGGATTTTTAGCATGGAGAAAGTTGTGATGGTTGAGTTTTGTTTTGTGAGCTGCAAAATTTTTAGTTCCAAAAATCGGTGGTTTTTTTGGGTAGAAGAGTTTTATGTAGAAAGGATGATTCGTTCTTGAGGTGAATGAGATTTGGAAAGTTAGGAAAGCTGATTTTTGAGGAAAAGTAAGTCTTATATTTGTGAAAAATAATGCGTTTTAGATACTTTCTGTACTTATTCAAAGGACAATTTAGCAGGTTTTCTTTTGCTTCGGCAGAAACTATCCTTCATCCGAATAATTTTTCAGTAACGACGTTTAATTTATTGTTTATAAATAGCAACGCTATAGATAGTAATGAAGTCATCAAAAGTTAGAGTTAAAACTCACCTCAAACTACACTTTACCTGAAAAATAAAGGCTTTCATCGACAGTGAAAAATGGAGGAAATTTTGACTTTTTGTTGTACAAGCAGTGTAAATTTTTTGCGATTTTTAGTATCTTCACAAGAATGGTATTGTGCATCGTGACATCAAAGCAGAGAATGTGTTACTACTCGAAAATGAGGATTATACAGTTGTGAAGGTGAAAATTTTTCCCTTTTATTTTGTATTTTCTACTATACTCTGACGAGCTGTCTGTTTTGTTCATAGGCAAATCCAAGGGAGGGAGGGGAATAGCGAAGAGTCAAGGAGGAGGCCCGCTCTCCTCAGTGGCACAGGCACTAATACTGCAAAAGCCCGGGTCTAAAGCTAAAACTAAAGTAAACTAAAGCCTAAAGTAACTTCAAGTAACAGTGTTACAACTCTGTTCCTAGTTTTTGCATAATTCCTAACTGGGGGAAGCTCTTCTACCCCTCTAGCCTCCCTCTCCTCTCCCAAGAGTCCATCCTGGATCCATCTATGGAAGCAAGTATCTGCTTAGAAGACCTTCGGTTTCTCTCTCTTTCGTGAGTACTGCAAGCAAGTTGTTAGCACTTTTGTCGCCATAACGCACGCCCTATTACCAATGTTACTGTCGAAACGAATAAATGAATTGTATTACCATCGAAACGAATAAATGAATTGTGTGCATTGGCGGATCCAGGAGGAGGGGCCCCAGGGGCTTAGGTAGCAGGTATTTTACTGTAGAAAATTCTACTTGAAACCCTCTTTCACCCCCTCCCCCCTTCTCCCAGGGGCCTTCGAGAGAGGTGTAGTGGGACGACGAAGCACAAAGGAAGAAGGTGTGGTGAAAAATCCCCCCATCCCCCCCTACAGAAAACCATCTTGATCCGCCCATGACTGTAAAGGGATTGGCTGTCTTGAAGCGATTTTTTTAAAACTCAGTTTTAGCTAACACCTTTTTAATTTGCCTAATTTGCTCAGTTTTTACCTACTTTACCTATTGTTGTTAAACTCCATTACAGTTGACAGATTTTGGTTTGAGCAAAATAACAAACGGGCAATCGATGCGAACATTTTGTGGGACGAAATGCTACATGGCACCGGAGCAATGGAAAGCGGAAGCATACAGCTGTAAGGTGGATATCTGGGCACTTGGGGCTGTCATCTTCATTTGCATGTGCGGTTATCCACCGTTCAGTGCGGATTATGATGATTGGCCACTGGACGAGCAGATTATGAGAGGTAAAACGTTCAAGAGATTTTTTTTTATAATTTTTAATTTCTCACGGATACCACTTGCTGGTACACGCTCCCTGTTGTTTGTCAGCAAGGGGAACATTCTACTTTCACTCTAATGCTTCTATTATTCTATTTCAAAATCATTACCATTACTTAATTCTTTTTTACTTTTTACTTTAATCATACTTTAATTTTATCAAAAACATAGTTACCACAGCCGTCGTACTGACGAGGTCCAACTGTGGTAAAGGTAAGAAATGTATACGACTTAATGGACCGGAACATTTCTTACCTAATTTATTATTTCCATTTATATTTTTCCTTCTTCATTCTTTTTATATTCCTCATTACCTCTTTTTATTTTTTCCAATTACATTTTCACTTACCCTTAAACAGATTTTGTAGACATAAAAAGGGTGCCGAAATAGAACGTTCCGTTCTCGACTTCTGCTTCAGGAACCGATCGGTACTCAGCAAATTCATCTTTCCTAATGATTCAGGAATTGAACGCCTGGTCAGCACGCTCTTCTCATGAAAAGCGTTTCCCCATGGTTGACATATAATGGTTGCCCGTATCATTGGTTAACTTTCTCTTCTTTCCCGACTCTCTCACTCTGTTTGTTCTCCTGATTTCTCTTTCTTTCGTATATCCGTCTTTCAAATTAGTTATATGACTATTCAGTACATGGCGGATAGGAGGCTATATTGATGATTCCCGCTTCTACCCCCATGCATAGCTGGGTCTTACTTACAGGTAAGGGATGAAACACAGACTGCTTCGTAAAATGTCTTCTTACACGTGACACTTCAGTCCACTTCCTCTATTCTACTGTTTTCATGTTATTTTTTATTGGTTGTGATTCGCTCTTTCCTTGCCTTCATTATTTTACCGGAAAAAATTTTTGCAGGACGACTGGTTTTTTACAAAGGTTGGGAGAAAGTCTCACCGTTTGGACGAAAAATTCTGCGACAGTGCTTTAGAACTGAGCCGGAACATCGTATCTCGGCGACGGAAGCGCTTGCTAGCGAGTGGTTCAAAGATCCGATTGTTGAAAAAGCTCGCAGTGTCGTACAGAATCATACGGTAAGATTTTTTTGTTTTTAGTACAAGATGTTAGTGTAAGACAGCATTTTTTTGCCGAAATGCTTTCTTTCTGACATCCACCATAGTTATGCAAAGCTCTTTTATAAGCCTGAGTCGCTTGCCTGCACAAGAAAGTAAAATTCGATAGGCAGGGTATACACTATACTAAACCTTCATCTAAATTATCTTTGTTACCACAATCGTCGTACTGACGAGATCCAACTATGATAACAGTAAGAAAATATATACGACTTAATGGACCGAAACATTTCTTACCAGTTACAAATATTTTGAGACTTCGTTTCCCTTTTTTCCTTCCCTTCTTTTTCCGTTTCATCATTTTTTACCTTATCCTTCAATATTATTCAACTTATTGATAGCTGGCCATCGCTTCTACTGTACACAAAAAGCGCCATGTTCTTCGGAAGTTGGCCGGACATTTTTTCCTCTCTAGGTACCATATATGTTGGTACAGGGTATTCACAAACTTTTAGCAAAGCAGTCTCACCAAATATCATTTTTTTGTGGTCGTGATGGAAAAATTTCAGCATCAAAGCTTGCTTAGTTGCCGAATTGAAATACTTGAACAGACACAGGTAGAAAGACAGACAGACAGACAGATAGACAGACACACATACTTACATACATACATACATATATACATACATACATACATACATACATACATACATACAACATTCCAGGTTCATTTACTAGCCTTTAAGCTTCTGCAGCTATGCAGTTCAAATTCACTAAGTACCGAGATCCAAAAGGGAAACAGAAGGGCAAATGCTCGCTCGCTGTGGTAACGGAGCAGCGGAGTGAGGGATGCCTAGAGTGCCCATAAAAGTAGACAAATTTTCCGCGAAATAAGCCGCTTCGAGGATGTCATTGGGTCTATGTGAGAAAGTAAAATCCGACAGGCAAGGTATATTACTGGCCTTGCTAAAAACCGATGAACATGGCGCATTATCGAGTGATGCACTCGAAAAATTAAGCGGCTACACAAGCAACCTTTACCGGTTTTGCATACATACATCGAACAGGCGGTGGATGTCAATTATAGGCGGATGCAGGGCGGACTCCTGAGGAAGGAGGCGACGGCGGGTAAGGGTAAGAGGAGGGGAGAGTGGGGCTCTTGGAAGAGGGGGGAAGGCGACGGGAGTGAGGAGAAGAATCCCCTACTACCCTAAAACTATACAGAAGTTAGGAATAGAGTTTTAACACACTGCTACTTAGAGTTACTTTAGGCTTTAGTTTACTTTAGTTTTAGCTTTAGATCCGGGTGTTTGCAGCAGTGGTGCCTGTGTCGCAAAACCCATTGTCCTCCCCCTGCATCCGCCTGTGGTACCAGCTGGGTTTTTGTAGCTCAGGTTCGAAGGGATTAACATATCTATGCCGGATATGGAAGCATCCCAGTGGTTTCATTAAAATGTGAGACCTCCGAAATGAGCGACTGTTAGGTCATGTTTTTGTTATTTTCAATATGGTATTTTTAAACTTTTGTGTGTTTTTTTGTGCATTTTTGCGAAAAACCATAAAATTTTTATTTCGACCACAGCAATAAACTTTAACGATTGTACCTAATGGCAGTATTTTGATGAGAAAGTCTTTATCTTTATGCCCTTTTTGTGCATTTTCGGCGAAAATGACATGTTTTGTGAAAGCAGTACTTTGTGTGATGCTCTATGGTTTCCAACTTTTCCCAAAAACAGTTTTGTCTTCCCTTCTTTCCTGAAGATTCGAAGTATTTTGATCTGGGGTATTTTCTAGTTTTTCGTTTTTTGTTACCAGCAGTCAGTCTTTAAAAGCCAAACGATGAATTGCTTAATCTTTTTTAGTCCTTCCCCATTTTTATTTTTGAGAGGTGGAGAAACTTAAAAATAACCCGTATTTTAACATTTTGCCAATAACAGTCGTTTTATTAAGAAATAATTTGCTGCGGGCACACACACACAAACACACAGACAAACCCGTGACAACAGCTGTTGCATAGCACAAAATGCATAAAAATATCAGACTTATCCGGGCAGTCGATGGGGGGATCCTATGCTAATGATGATATCGCGGTGCCTTGCTTCCACACATTGGGTGCAGCTTTGCCAAGCCCTTTGATTCTGAGTTTCTTTTTTCCAGTTAGTACCTACCGCTTGTTCGGTGTGTGTGCGCCATCACGGACTGTTATGTAATTGAAAACTGAACGACTAAAAGTGGAAATTTTAAATCGTTCACCGCCACAACGGATCAATCCTGAATATGTTTCTTGGAAATGTATTTAGTGGATTGCATATTACACAATTAATTTGACTCTGACTTTCACTAACTTCAATTACCACAGTCGTAGTACTGACGAGATCCAGTTGTGGTAACGGCAAGAAATGTATACGACTTAGTGGACCGAACCACTTTTTACCATTATAATACACGAATTTCCTGATTTCCACTTCCCCCCTTCGTTCTTGTTTTTTTCTCTTTTTACCATTCTTCCCCATTATAACTTTTTATTGCAGAGTAAGATGGGGAATTGGTGTCGGGAAACAAAGGACCGAGATGCCGATGTTCCAGTGCCTTGAGGAATATCACCGTTAAAAGTTGTTCAACTTTTATCCCGCTTCTTTTTTGGAATTTCTTTCCTGTTCTTGCTACTAATCTCATGTTTTTGCGCAAGTTGTCTTTGCATTTATGCTTCAGCCAATGATCGGCAAAAGCATCAGCATATCTGTGTAAAGCAAATTTTTTAAGCTAATGTTTTGGAGGTTTTGAGAATGTGGTGCTTGGACCAGTTCTGGTCATGTTGTTTTTGTCAAAAATTTCCCTCAAAAAATGAGAAAAACTACCCTTGAGAGAGCCACTCTTGTAAGGATTTTCTTTCTAAAAAGTGAGGCCTGTTCGGTAGTAATTCACTGGTCAAATTTTACTATCATATTTGTGGAGTTGATAAAGCGCGCCTTTTTTGGTCGTACAGAGGAAAAAAGAAAATCAAAAATTTAATCTTTTTTTTTGAAAACTCCGCAAAAAACACTGAAAAATCATGCAAAGTTCATATTGCTGGGATATGGGATGAATGAATGAAGATGGCAGCTATGAAAATTTACCGCTTTTCTAGATTAGTCTTTAAAAAAATGTCTTTATGAGTGACAAATTAGGTTTTTTATCCTTCGGCAGTAATTCACTGTAACCAGATCTACTTCTTTGGGGAAATTTAGTTCGTTTCTTTTTTTAAAAATTTAATTTTGGAAAAAAAGAATCGAGAAACAAAGAGGTCGAACATAAAAATTTAATTCGGTTTAAATTGTTCAAATTTCAAATGAAATTTTTTTAAGTAAAATCGAAAAATAAAAAATTAAATAGATGTTGCGGTGCGTGCGTTTGAGAGAAATTAAGGATTTTCATGAAAAAGACGTCAGTTGACATTTTACTTCTCGTTTATGAGGGGTTTTTTTAAGTACTTTTTTTTGATTTCTGCCTTTTGATTCTTTTCTTCCTCTCAACTTGTGTTTAAAAGTTCACTTATTTGATATTATCGCATTTATCAGTTCTTTTTTTCATAGTTATAACCAATAATCATTCTGTTATCATGAAAAATCTTGTATATATGAGTACTGTTAGAAAAAATCATTAATTTATAGCCAGGTGTTTTTTTTTTTTGAAAAGAGATCTGTGAAAAAGTTGCATTTTGGCTTTCCTTCTCTGTAACTTTGCATAAAACTGAAATGAAAAAATATTTCTTATTCGTTATCTGTTGACAATTAATGTTAAAAACAAGTATAAGAAACGATTCCAATAATATTAATGATATTATTTATAAGGAATAATATTGATAATAGCGATAATATTAACTAGAAGATAAACATTATTATGGTGATATTAGTAATATTATTGGCGACATTAGTAATAATATTGGCAATCTGATGGTATTTATAATGGTAGCAAAAAATAGTAATAATAATAGTAATAACAATAATAATAGTAATGATAATGACAATGATGATAATAATAATAATGATAATGCCAGCAGCAATAATAATATAATGATAATAATTTTAAGAAGAATATAAGTAGTGATGACATTAATAGTACTGATAAGAATATTAGCAGCAATAATAAGATTAATAATGGCAATAACAGTAATAATAATAATAAATAGCACTATCAACTACAAGAATTATAATAGTAATTTAATAATGAATTCAAATATAGCCATATACTGTGACGACGTATTAATAAAAATACGAGGTAAATTGAATAGAATATTTGATTAATGCTTTTTAATAAATTTCTTTTTGCTCAAAAACACATGTGCTCCTAAGAAATAGGGAAATTTACCGCTAATTTTTCCTTGTAAACAAAAAAAACTCATTTTCACCCAGGACGAAAAAGGGGCATTTTCGTTTGGTTTCCTCTTATTCTCTTGCTCCGAAAACTCCAAACTTTATTTTTAAATATTTATTTTTCCCTTAAAAAAATACACGCTCAAAAATGTGCCGTTCACTTTGCGTATAAGTTGCTTTACGTTGTTACTGTTGTCAATCTTCGGTCCATTTCTTTTTTGCAGTTTGACTTGAAAATATGTA